TCACGGAGAAGGCGGTTTGGATAGGGACCGACTCGTCAGATGGTCGGACATCCTCCTCCGGCTCTCTAGTTTCTTAGGCGTCACGACGGGGAGCATCGTTCCGCCGGTATTGCGCGAGCCTCCCTCCCTTGATGAGGGTTTCGATGGCGTCCTTGAGGTGGACGCAATCCTCAGTCAGATGACCATGGCTCCTATGGTACTGACAATATTTGTTCTTGTCTGCTCCGGGCTTGGCGGGAGCAGGTCGGGGACGTTTGACACTGCTGTCCTTGAAATCAGTGCTGGCACACTCCGCCAGAATGCGCTCGCGGGAAGCTGTGAGCGGAGTGTACTCGGTGAACCGTCCCGAAGGTCCTCTTTGTTCCCGGACCTCCCCGGGGGTCTGTCTTCCTTCCTTTTCTCCCCGGTTCGTCGAGGAGGGGCTTCTTGCCGTGAGCTGCTGCTGGGACCACGAGTCCTGGGATCTCGGGCTCTGTTGGCCGCTTCCCTCTCCTCGTAGTCCATGTATGTCTGAGCTTTTTCGAGGAGGGCATCGAATGTCCGAGGTGGCTCGATACCCACGACCTTTCTGAATTCCGTGCCGGGGAGGAGCCCTCTCTCCAACAAATATCTCTTCATATGGTCCGCACAAGGGACCTGTATTGCTTCCCGGTTGAAGCGGTTGATGAATTCCCTCAAGGTTTCATCCTGTCTTTGGATGATGGCCTCGAGAGCCGCCTCGGTTCTCGGATGTCACCGAGAAGCTGTGAAGGAACTGATGAACTGGTTCTTCAGGTTCCGCCACGAGGTGATTGAGCCCGGGGCTAGTCCTTTGTACCAGTCCATTGCCGCCTTCCTGAGAGTCGTGGGGAATAGACGGCACTTGATGGGCCCCCCGACATTGTGATAATGAAGCACGGCCTCGAACCCGTCTATGTGGTCAACCGGGTCCGCGACTCCATCGTACTCCTTCAAGTGAGGGGGCTTCTCCATGCCCGGGGGGATGGGTGCTTCCATAATAGCCTGTGACAGGGGACCGCGGGGGTCGTCCTCGTCGCTTCTCTCCGGAGACAGAGATGGGGACCTGTAATATTGTCTGGGACGACGGTCCAAGTCGTGCTGAGTCTCTCTCGAGCGGGATGCTCGGTGGTTGAATTTCACACGCCCATCTCCGGAGTGCCTTCTTTACTGTCTCGCCGGGTCACTACTAGGTTCTCCGGCTTGAATGACGGGGGGCCTCTCCAGATGGGGCCGTTTCTCTTTTGGCCGAGGAGATTGGCTTCGAGAGGTCTCCCTGTAATGTCTCCGCGGGGGAGATGGATGTCGAGCTCCAGTCACTCGAGGAGGGGGAGTATGGGGTCTCCGATGCCTCCTCGGGGGTCTTCGCTCGTCTTCAAGCACCCTCAGTCTCTCTCCTTGGGCGAAGATGAGATAGTTCGTTTGATTAATTGCTGCGAACAGCGCTTGAGTTGTGGCATCCGCCCCGGCGGGGACAGGGACTTCCTGGAACCGGGCAGCTCTGTAGTGTGCGAGGGCCGCCGGGTCGTCTTCGAGTGGTGGAGGGACCGAGGAGGATGATGCAGTAGCTCCGTCCCTGTAGGTGGAAGTTTCGGGGGCGGTTGTCGCAGGAATGGTGTTGTGGCCGGGGTTGCCGGTGTTATCAAGGTGTCCGTTTTTGTCCGCAGTGCCGTTATTAGTGTCAGCGACACGGCCGTTCTGCTCATCGCGAGCTTGATCAGCCATGACAGCGGTAGTTGAATTTGAGCTTTGGTCTTTGAGTTTTGTAAGACGGGGAAGCTAGTCTCCCACAGACGGCGCCACTGATCTGACCTGATCAGACTTGGACCGTCACGGCTGGCTCCGAGCTGAAGTTTTGAACGAGGTGGGGGGGTACCTGCAAGGCACTCCGATGCTGAAGTAAGTAAGAGCGCGAGCAGGCAAAATATGAGTATATGGGATAGAATGAATACCTGACCCTCTGGAAACAGAGGGTATTTATAGCCCCCAGCGTTGGGCCAAGGTTCCTTCATTGGGCCGGGCAGGTTTGGCCCAATGGAGGAACTGCCAGGTTCTACGTGCGTAGTGGGGACCCGCACGTGGTCCCCTTCCTGGATGTCCTGCGTGAAGTACGGGCGGACAAGGACGCGGTCTTTTCGGGGTCCTGTTGAGAGCGCAGTGGACCGTGTCCGCTGCTGAAGGAGTGCTCGAGCTGAGGTCGAGCTGGATAGCACGAGGACGGAGATGTCGCCCAGTGACGTATGTCGGGCATAGCTATGGTCCTTAGGTCGGCGTGACCCCTAGCAAGTCCGTTTGGATTTGGTCTTTATCGTTGCTCTTGGGCCAGCCCGGCCCAATCCAGAACAAAACCAATGCAAAAGTGTGTTCATTGACAACTTATATGTGTATGGTTGCTTGAGATAAGCTATTGACCACACTATTTTACATTGAAGAAATTAAAAATACCATTTTTTTCTATGCAGGCGGACAAATATCCTTCCTTCTATCATCATTTTTAGGAGATTTACTACCTAAAAAATTACAGTGCAGGTTGTTTGTTACTCGAATCTGGTGCGTTTCCGCCAAAAGCCTTAATATCTTTAATAGTATAACCTTAATTCCAAAAGATGGAGAAAAAACATTTATGAAAGACCAGTCACGAGAGGCCGATTGCCGTCTACAATGTGTTGTATAAAGAGATAATATCAAATGTTCTTGCGAATCGTCTAAAAAAAAGTTGACTTAAATGCACTTTTGGTCTCTCTCTCACATTTTAAAAGCTAACTTTTTGATTCCTAAATTTTACCTAAGGTAACTCCACGTTAGATAAACACATATTGTAGAGAAATACTGTAACAGTGTCATGTCATTAATAAAGGCACCATGTGTGTGAAATTATAGGAGAACCAACAAAATCCCGATTAAGGTAAAGTTTAAGATCAAAAAATTGACTCTTAAAATGGAAGGACTAAAACTTGAAAATAGAGGGACTAAATGTTCAAGAAAAAAAATATTTTGCTAAGTGCATCTCTAGTAACCAATCAACTTTGTTCTAAAGGCCCAATGCTAATCAAACAAGTAAAAAGCTAGGGGGAGATTTAGGCCATCAAAAATTGTAAAAATGCTCTAATTATTTTCCATATTCATTTTGCTGATGACTTCTTCTTATTCTTTAGAGATGATGAGAATATGTTGAAAAACATTCTAGCCACTTAAGAAGAAGTCTTTGGGCAGGCCATCAATCTTCAAAAATTAGAAATTGCCAGTAGTAGAAATGCGTGCAAAATGTCAAAAGACTGCGGTAGTTAATATTCTATCTATGTCAAGCAAGTTTTAGGAACAAGCAAGTACATTCAATGTTTGGCAAAGGTAGAAGAAAAACAACAATAAATTTATAAAAGATAGTATGGAAAAAGACCAACTCCTAGAGCGAAAAGGTATTTTCAAGTGAGTAGGAAAATTCTTATCAGTCTTTCTAACAATTTATTCTGGCATATTTAATGAGTATCTTCTAATTGCCAACTTCCTTAAGTGGCTTCAGAAGATTATAAATTTCTTTTGGCGGGGGAATAACCAAAAGCAAGCTAAGTATTCATTGGCTTTCTTGGGTCTATCTATCTTATCTATACATAAGAATGAGGAAGGTATGAGGTTCAAAAATATGTGTGCCTTTAATTGTGTTATGCTTCTTCATAAACAATCTTGGAAAAGGTACTTTCCTAATTGTGATTTTTCTCAACTCAGCCAATAGGCACAACCCCAGTTATCTGTGACATATAGTATTTGGAGTTCCAAATTTGTTGCTAGAGATATTGGGTCCGTGAATCTATTTCGGTGTGGGATCAGTCAACAATGGCTTTTTGATAGTGATGACTAATTTGTGGCAAGTCAGTTTAATAGTTTATGTTCTAATTCTTAATGTGATCCACACTTGGAGGGAATGAAGTGACAAAAAATACTTCAAATCCCATTGTTTGAAGTTGTTCAGGATGACAGTCACATGAAGAATGGCAAATTTTCGATTTGTAATGCCTACTGTTATTAAGGGTTGGCAAGAAGTTGGAGCTTATTTGGTGTGCAAGAATTCCTTTTAGGGTTAAAAGCTTATTTGGTCTCCATGTGTTGTTGTCTCTGTGATGGGGTGATTAAAGACGACAAACTATTCTTGCAGTGCCCTAAGAGTTGTTGTGCAACAATCAGAGTGATTCTTGCAGTGCCCTAAGAGTTGTGTGCAACAATCAGAGTGATTCCATCCCTTTGGCAACAATCAAAACCAGCAACTGTTGTTCTCAGCCACCCTGTGGAGCATTTGGAAATTATAGGAACAACCATTTGGAATCAAATATAGGATTCAACCAAGACTATTTTTGTTTTTCTAAAAAACCTTTTTTTTTTTTTGCACAAACACCTTGTATAGAGTTAAGTTGTTGTAGTCCTCCTTAATTGTTGTATACTTGTTGTGTTTTTAGGATCTTGATACCAATGGTTTTCAATCTTAATCCACTTGTAATGGTAGAGAAATGAACACCAAGATAAATATAGTAGGGTTACCAGAACAAATCATACTTAATTTATCAGAACTAACTTGAGTATTTATTCCTTTTTTTTTTCCCATAAGATCTATTGTGTATCAGACAGAAGAGATGAGGAAATGAGATACTGCAAGAAGAAAAAATAAAGAAGACCGATATATGTGATTCGTCACGAGCGGTGTAATTGTGTATCAGACAGAAGAGGCGAGGAAATGAGATACTGCAAGAAGAAAAAATAAAGAAGACCGATATACGTGGTTCGTCACAAGTGGTGTGTGACTACGTCCACGGGAAAATGAAGTGTTGTTTTCCACTATAATATATCATGTTACAATAGAAAGGTCTCCTATGAACAATCCACCCTCTCTTGCTCTATCTATACATTGCCACAATGTACTTTGTTCCAGTATTGTTTTGATATAAGTACAGAATATTGCTTTTACATAATTGTTCAATCAGAAAAATAAATTGGAATTTTTCTAATGTCACTGCTTATCGAATACGACTCAAATGTGAAAATGGCTCTCTAGCTTTTGGCGCAGCTTTGGCAATTACTTCGGGAGTGCCAAAAGCATTCCAGAATCTCAATGTTTCATCAGCAGCAGCTGTTGCCACTGTGCAACCATCTGGGCTCTGTGCCATATAAAGAACTCTTGAAGTGTGACCATTCAGCTCTGCCATCTTCACCATGGAAGGATATTTCCAAAGTGTCAGTTGATTCTGTGTAAAACCATGGGAGCTGAGTAACTCCCTTTCATTCTTGTTCCACAAGAGGGAACATACCTGAGACCCGGTGTCAATTGAATTCAAGCATGCACCTGTGTGTGTATTCCAAAACTTGATGCTTCTATCGCCACTGCCTCCACCAGTAGCCAGCAAATTCCCTTGGAAAGGACACCAAGCAAGTGCCTTAACTGCAGATGTATGATCTTCAAGCCTGTGAAGCCACTGTGTTGGGGAAGTAGAAGATGCCGTACCTCTATCCCAGATATAAAGTAGATTATCATTCCCTCCACTTGCTAATTGTTGACCTGAAGCAGACCATTTCAACCCACAAACTTCTTGTTCATGCCCTCTGTATGTCTCAACAATGGGTGATCTAATTCTTACATCATTGTTTAGAATTCTACCATCCATTCCGCCGGTTGTGAGTATGTGATTGTTCCATGCCAATGACCCGACTCGCTGCCTATGCCCACCTCTCAATGTTCTCAACTGCAGAAACATACAAGAACAACGTTAGTAAATTAACTAGTGGGAAATGGATAATGATAATTCACAATGGAGTTATTTTGAAGGATAATCTACTTTATACCATACCTGCTTATCTGAAGCTGTATCCCATAGCTGCACTTCAGAGTTGTTCAAACCAACAGCAATATGACGCCCATCAGGAGCCCAACTTACAGATGTGACAGGGCCGTCTTCATCATCGACAGTCATGAGTTCTGAAGTGGAACCGTTTGATGCATCCCATAAGTACACTGTGTTTCCAAGTGCTATTGCAAGAACATTGGCACTTCCCCAGTCCAATAAATTGAGGTAATAGTCATCCACAAGGTCTGGAGCATCTAATGTCCTCTCAGAAGTCTGTAAAATCAACAAACCAATTAGCACAAATCGTGATTCACACTATACAAACTAGGAGTTAAGAAAACAACTCAGATTCACATAATTTCAAAAATTCCAACAACTAGGAATTAAGAAAACTCAGATTCACAGAATTTCAAAAAACCTACTCAACTGGGAATTAATAAAACAACTCAGATTCACAGAATTTCAAAAAACCTATTCAACAAGGAATCAAGAAAACAACTCTGATTCACAGAATTTTAAAAAAACCCAATCAACTAGGAATTACGAAAACAACTCTGATTCACAGAATTTCAAAAACCCAAATTCAAAAAAGTTTCAAATCTGACTTTTGCTGTTTCTGTTGTTCATTCAACCAATTTGATAAAGAACAAATATGTATGAAATACCAATCAGATTTCAATAATGTACCTGAGGAATAATTCGCTTGGGCTTAGGGGTTTTATCTTGTTGATGAGTTGATGAAGAACTCTCATGAGGGATCAAATCAACTGGCGTAGGTGGCTTGTTCTTGAAAGCCAGAATTCTTGTCCGGTTCATGTTCAAGGATTCTGCAAGTTGCTTCCTGTAAGCCTCTCTCGATGGGGAGCATGCAACTGGATTTTCCTTGCCTTTAGCCCCTTCTGTCAACATGTAGTGAGCATAATCGAAATCCATCGCTGATCTATTCGGTATGAATCTGTCCAACTGGTGACAGACAAATCAAAGATTAGAGTGTTGCTGGATTTTACAAACAGATTATAACCCATTCTTTGACATATTTCAAATATTCACATTCACAATTTTAACACATTGCAAATTGATAATATAAAAATTGATATATTCTGAAACCCTAATTTGAAAATTGAAAAAATGTTCTTACATTATCTCGGGAACTTTTTCTCTGGAGAAATTGTTCTTGGAGAGGAAAGCGTGACTGAGACTTGATGGCGGGAGAACTCAAAGAACCTGAATCCATTGTTAGAGAAAAAAGAAACAATATACAAAATAGAACAACTAAAGAAAATGAAACAAAAAATGAAATTCAAACCGTGAAATGAAAATTAAGAATCAAGATTTAAACCCTGCAAAACAAAATTAGACAAATTGAAAATCAAATTGAAGCGATTATGAGATAGCGAATCAAATTGAAGCGATTGTGATAGCGAATCAAATTGAAGCGATTGTGATAGCGATTGAGTAATGGTGATGAGAGAGAGAGAGAGAGAGAGAGAGAGAGAGAGAGAGAGAGAGAGAGAGAGATTTGAATGATGAGAGAGAGGAGAGATTATATATAGCAGAGAGAGAGACAGAGACTGTGAGAGAGGAAATGGGAATTAGGGTTTTGGGCAATGTTAGATTTGAGATGCGGCAACGGCTATTTTCCTTTGATATTATCGATATAGCCGTTATAATTATCTGTGACCCTAATGTCCTTTTTCTCTTGATTAGGGGAATCATAATTTTTTTTGGATCCAAATTAAACTATTGAATCGTAGTTTTTAACTTTTTTTTTTATATAATTTCTTTTATGCTTCTTTGTCATTTTTGAGTATTTGTTGCAAAAATAAATAAATAAAACAGGTAAATATGAATTAATAAAATGTTAGGAACTTATTAAATAAGTTATAGAATTAATAAAATTTATTAATATTATTTGTAAGTGCATATAACTTTTAAATAAGTATAGTTTATTTTTAAAAACATACTAAAAATACTTTAATATAGTCGTCAATAAATATTTCAAAAAAAATTTAAAAGTAGTTATTATAATGGTTTTTTTCACCATTATAAAAGGGCCGGTAAAACGGACATGTCTGTTTTGCCAGCATTTTTTTGTGGGACAGATTAAAATTGTAGGTTCGCATCCTCTAATGTGTTTGTCTCGTCCCGTCTCAAAGTTATAAAAAGTGTAGTTCTCGTAAGTTCGACTACGTTCTCTCTTTTTTGCGAGACGAACCAACGTTTTAGGCATGCGTACTCAAGTATGTTAATTTCGCCCGTCTTATTTTTTTTGTGAATTTTTATGGGATGGGGCTAAACGGGAAAAATATACTTGTTTGTCACCCCTAATTGTAAATAGATAACGAAATATATTATTTAAAAAGGTGTGTGTGTGAAAATATTAATTAGAAGAAAAATCGGAAAAAACAATAATTAATTTTTATTTAAAATAAAAATACTTATGAAGAATGATAATAATTTTGTGTTAGACCGTTTGCAAGACCCATGGAAAAAGACCAAGATCGAACTTTGAGTGCTAACCTTGCAAATCAAAATTCCTCTCCATCGCGTCACAAGTACATATCCAACGTTACAAGACACAACTTCGTTATCTCGCCTTTCATTTCTAAATTCTAACCGAACAAGGATGTCGCCTGTGGAAATCGACTTTTGATTTTCGCTAATTTTACAACAAACCAGCAATTATCATCAAATTCATCAAGCTTATGACATCCAAAGTCACTTGATTTGTCGTTCAACGAAAAGTTACTAGTGCAACCGCTAAAGTTGCTAGAATTTGGCTTATTCCTCCCACTTCCTCGTGTAAAAGACTATTCAATTTAGTTAGCGTCTCCTTCTGGACCTACACAACAAGATTATGATCCTCCAAGAGTCGTACAATGAATATTTTAAGTTCTTTCATTCTTTAGATTCACACAATAGTTTCACCTAAGCGAAACATAACCCCAACCACCTCCTCTACAAAATATACATAGACATGAAATGCTCATAAATCTTCATTTGTTGCAGAAGAAGAAACATTGGCCTTGTTTGAGGAAAAAAGAAGTCTTTCAGTAGTGAAAAATGGACCTTATTATTTGGCGATATTTCTAATTCATTTGGACATGGTATTGGAGTTGTCTTGATTTCCCCAAAGAATCATTTGATTCCCTTACAACAATATTGTGCTTTGATTTTACAAACAACACGACTAAATATGAGGCATGTACTATGGGCATTCATACAACCATCAAGTTGCAATCCAGGATTCTCAAAGTATATGGAGATTCAACATTAGTTAGTTATCTATATTTAATATGAGAATGGGGAACTTAAGATATTAATTTAATCCCTTGTCACACTTACGTCAAAGAAATGACAGAATAATTTGAGGAGGATGATTTTCACTATATTCCTCATGATGATAATCAACTAGCCATTATTAGCTACATTATCATCAATGTTTGAAACCGATAACAACAATGATGTGTCACACATTAAAATTCAAAGTTTTGACCAGTCTACACATTGCCTAGCATCGGAGAAGGATCCTAATGACAAACCGTTGTATTATGATATCAACCGATATATCACTAATAGAGAATACCCACTACACGCCTCAAATAATGATAAAAAAGGGAATTAATAAGATAGGTAGTGGTTTATCCTTGGGAGTTTTCAGAGGGGCATTTAGTACTAAAAAAGATTTTACCTATCTAAAAGAATTTTAAAAAAATGGACCCCAAATCATAAAAGGTCCATATGTGGTGAATAAAACTTTTTCTGAATGAGCCTTAACCCTCACAAATATTAATAGGGAAATACTACATCTTTCGGTAAACTCCTATGCTGTAAAAAATATGCTTGACATTGTATGTAAAATGAAAGAAAGAAGAAAAATGAAAAAGAATAAAAATGATTCAATAAAAATAATTTGCTCGCTTGATTGGAAGCATGATAAGAAAACACAGGCATAAGTTAGAATAAACTGTTAGATTGAAATCTCTAAAGAACAGTCCAGGAAAAAATTTGGGTCATTAAGTTGGATGATAAAATGGGGAATTTACGTATAAAGTCGAGACAATCTATTAGTTCTAAATTTTAATAATGAGTGTCAAATTTATAGCTATGAGCAATCAACATTGTGTTGACAAGCCGTTTTCAACTAGGGAAACAAGCCTTTAAACTGTAAAGGTATCTTTGGTTAGAAAGGCATGTGTCTACCATAAAGAGAATGGGACGCGTCGACAAGTCAAAGAAGTCCAAGAAGTCTGGTCGACAAAGACACTGGTTCTGAGGGCAGTCTCGACAGAAGGCGAAGTGTCGACAGACAATGATAAGTATCGGCAAGAGCAGTTACCAACTCATAAGCCAGTAAGAACGTGGGGATGTTGCAAACCAGTTCTCCATGAATCCCAGCGTGGGACTAGTAACCGTTAACGATTACACTTTTAGATTTTATATTTAAGCAAATGTTTGTATTTTTGTCAGAGGTCACATTTCTTCATATTTAGAACATTACACTCAAAGTACCTTCATCTAAGAGAGAAACGAGTTTCAAGTTTAACAATGTATGAATGCTTCCACATTTAAATTCCAAGCAATTTCCACTTTTTTCACTTTAAATTACAAGTCTTGTCATTTATTTTCTTTACTTTGCAATTGTCTTATACTTTTGTCGTTTATCCAATATCAACCAGTTTCAACCCAAAACACTCAAAACATTAAGTCTAGGATTATTATAGTTGATCCTGCAAGTAATCTTTAATAAGAGGCTAACGATTGTTTCGCAAGAAAAAAAAAGGGCATACCTGGTGGGACACATTGTGTTTGAGTTTTTCTCATTTTATGCATGAAATTAAGAAGTGGTAGAAAAATGGTAGATCCTAGAACCCCTGAAAGGGATCAAACCATGGGAGGAAATACCAGCGCAACAGCGAGTGTGGGTTCCAGTCATGTGGTCGTGTCTTCGACTACACCGAACATAGTTACCAAAACACATCCAGTAACTGCAAGACCACCAATGGTCACAACTTCTGGGCATTATGTTCCTGGTTTTGCAAGAAAGACACACGATGGTGTGATTCCAACCACTGGGCAGTATGTTCCTAGCTTTGTAAGAAATATACATGAATATGGAATGCCAACAGTGATGTTGGCAGGCCTGCACAACAGTAGTCTACCATTTGGTGAAATTTTTGTGTCGGTGTTTTCCCCATATCATGCTTCATGGACGTTGGGAAATCAATTTGGTCATTCGACTGGATTGGGATTTTCCAACCAAATCATGCCCACTTTCACTCAAAGTATCGTTGTTGTCATGAGGCAACGGATAGATGAAAGTAATCATGAGATGGTCAATATACTTACTCAACAGATGAGTCTCATATTACAACTTTTGATCAAGAATTTGGTGTAGATTTTTCAGACTTTAGCAACTCAAATGACTCGCATTGGAGATTTCCTTGGTGCCCTAAGAGTGCCAGTTCGACAGGTTACGCCTCCCCCATGTGAGGAACCAGTGCAGTACGATGAGGTGGTCAATGGAATAGTCGGACAAGAACCATCGAGTCTCCAACGTGTTGATCGTATCCTTAGGGTTGTATAGTAACCCTCAATAGTGATAGAAAATTGAAACCAGAATGCCGATCAAGTGGTAAAGCATGTTAGACAAAAAATAGTGGTTGGGGAATAAAACCTAGAAGCCATTGTCGAAAAAATTATAGTTAGGAATGGAATGAATATTGGTGTAGCAACTGGTTTTTAAATCTAGAGTCGCCACTATAAGTTTTTAATCCTAGGGAAGGGAACCTAATAGAAAACCCTAATTCGCAAATAAAAATTCTAGGTTTCGAACTCAATTAGACGAAAGGAAGGTGTTAGGAACCTTTCATCCACCTTGTTCACAAGGATATTAAGCTCTAGGTTTAGGTTTGGGATAAACAGGGTTTTAAGTTTAATTAGCAAGACTCGCCACAATTTTAGATCGTATGTCTATGTATCCTCTTATGAGGAATCAGAGTCCCAATTCATAGTTCGTATGAGGTTGGGGTTTTTTAGGGGTTTGCAAATATATTTTGAATCACTCTGCACTCGGTCGGGAGTAGTGATTGCGGAGATTTTGACTGAGTGCGTAGTAAGTCAAAACTAGTTTGAAACCCATTTGCAAAAGACAGTTAATTAGTTTAGTTTATTGCGAAAATAGTTTTAAGATTTGTTGAATAATTTTTAATCGTATTAATTGCAAAAATATTT